TCAGATCTGTTATAAGTATATATTCTTTTTCCATATATACATTTTTGTGCATGTATTTTTATGAGTATATTATCTCTACTTAATATATCATTTTAGTGAATGTAGCTAGGCACCTCAGCTAGTATATTCATATACTAATTGAATTGATTAAAATAGTAATTTTAAGTAGATGAAATTGTTTTTTATACAATTTTTAATTTAAAGAGAACCACTTTTAATTTAGCAGTAGTAAATTAATATCAGATTAAAATCTGATTAAATCTGAAATCCATACTTAAAATCTGATCTCAACTCAGTGGTTTAACATTTAGACATGTTACTTGATTCATCTTCATGCCTAATGAACTTCATATATTCTATTTAGAATTATAATGTATTTCACAAAGTCAAAAATTGGAAGATTTGTCATTTAAGTACATGTTCAAGTTTGTCTTTCCAGAGATAAATCCACCGTAACTTAGGGATGAGAAGGGATAGGGAGTTCTAGGAGTTCCATCTGTATTTATATCTATATTCCACATTCACCCAATGAATATGAATATTTACTCTTTTGTGTTTAAAAATCAATGATACTCTTAGGATTTGTGTGAAGTTTCCGAAGTGAAGATGGATAATATTGTCTGAAAACACAAAGATAATGTGATATGTTAATATCAAAAATTATTATATGTATAGTATACAGGGTGAACTAAAAGTAGATGGACAGTAAAGGATAACATTTATTGAGATTATATATACAAATTATTCACCAATACAATACAATTTTATCAGTGCAGGTGCTCAAATTGCTGTCCATCACAATTTACACAGATCTACATTTTACTATTTCACTCTTTTACAAACATTTTCACACAAGTATCTTTGTGTATTAATTTCTTGAAATGCATCCCTGATGTAATTTTTCAATCATAACCAAGTTAAATATACATCATTGTTATAGTATAACCCTAATGCAAACCCTATTCCATCTACTGTCCACCTACTTTTGGTTCACCCTGTATATAGACTACAATAAAGTAATTTTGAAATTCTTAACATGGAATTAAACATCTAAAAAAAATTACTGCCAGTATGCATAAGGTGAATAAAAAGAAAAGTCCTGTTTTAGAAAAATGTAATAACTAAAAACAGTGTTTATATTTTCTTAATACTGGTAAATGTCACATTTATATTGTACCATTTATAGTATTTTCTAAATTTGTTTTTTATATCTCCATCTGCACTATCTTTTGTTTTGGATATAGTTTTGTTTTCTATATTTCTTGTTTTGGATGTAATGCCAGTTCCTCCATGGTGCTCTTTTAGTAACCACATTTTTATCTTTGAAAATATTATGATTAGTGCTTCTCCATACCTCATTTCTTGACAAGACTGTAACATGAATAGTTACCAGACCAATATTTTTCCATTATTGAAAAATGGTCTCTGACAAAGGGGTCTCTGACCCCACCTAATTTGCTTTTTACATTGGCTTCAGTCAGTCCATGATATTTGTGGACAATAGAGTAGCTGCTTGTTTCATTCATTTTTATTATGCCAGTCACCAGACTTTTTGCCTGAACATATAGAATTTTTGTTACTGAGCAACTACCAGTAGTATGTACAGTACTTTACCTGCTATTGAATCTTTTTATGTTATCTGTCAGTTTGGCATACTTGTGTAATTTGGATGAAAAATAATCCTGTTTATAACTAACTACTTTATTAATAAAAAAAATATCTAGTGTTTGTTAAGAAGATAACATGGCATTTGATGTTGATTAAATTAAATATATTGTTCATATGTTTTATGAAAACTCTAACTTTTTGAAATTTACAAAAATGCCTTCCTTAGGAGTCCATTTATATATATTTAAAGTTATATTTATAAAAGACTACTTTGTTTGATAAACCTTGATTTGTAACATTTAAATTGTCAGTCATTTTATAGTCAGCTCTTGAGAAAGACATTTTTTAAATTTTGAAAACATTACAGCTTTTCATATATTTTATTAAAGTAATTAACACCAAATACTGTGTTAACAGACTAATTATATTGGTATATTCCATAATAAAGTTACAATAAAAAATATTTAGTTCTTTCAAAATGGAATACAATTAGAGATTTGAATACTTACTGATTCAGTGCCTGTAAGGATCAAAGAGTGTACAAATGCTCATGGTGGGCACACTTCTTACTGAAACATGTACTAAATAACAATAAACTTGGCTAGTTCATTTCGATTTATCTTCTGGGTATGATCCTGTATATATTTACCATGTTTCATGAAATTCCACTAATTCTGTTTGGGTAAACAAATTTTCACCAGTGTATTACTATCTTGTAAGATGAATATTGAATATACTTATTCATTTAAAATTCTAGTTGAGATGTAGAAGTTTGAGATTTTGCTAAATTGAATTTCTCTTGAAGATGACACTTAAAGCTCAAAAACTTTAAAATGTTTTGGCATAAACAAAAATTTTTTTTTTAATTTTGAGTTATAGAACTAAATTTAAGAACTTTTTACGATTGTAGTTTTTTAGGGAGATTTTTATATAAAGAATACAACAAAAAATTATTTTTTATATCATACATGTAATTATATATAAAACAATAAAACAAAAAAATTAATACTATCAATTTATATATATTCATTATCATCATTTTATATATATAACGATGATAATGAATATACTATATAACATTGATAGTATTTGTTCATTGAATTTATTTTTGAAAACTTTTTATTTTATAATATAGTTGTAGAATAGCACATTTTACTAAAATACAATAAATTAGTTGCTTAAAGTTATTTGAGTAGTTGAAGCCTAGTTAGCTTAGTCATTTTTATAATACAGTAAATTCTTGATTTAATGGCAAAAAAAATTCAACATCTTACAGAAAAAATCTATGTTTTTTTTTATGCATGGATATAGCATGCTAAAAGATAGATCAATGAATCAATAAGTATTAATTATTCAATGTACATCATAATACTTTATTCATGTGTGTTAAGGATCATTTCGTGCCAGTTCAGGCAGGAATTGACTGTCACAATGCAAAATTTCGATGATTTTTCAAAAAGTGGATTTATCTTGAACCCATGTAAAGCTCCAGTAAAGCATTTTGCAAAATTTCATTTTTGGAGATTTCATTACTAAAATATTATAAGGGTTATTCCATATCAGTTCAGGAAGGAATGAACCATCATGATGTCAGATTTTGACAAATTTCACAGAGTGGGTTTATCTTGAACCCATGTAATGCTCCAAAGCATTTTGAAAAAAAAAAAAATATTCATTTTTGGTGATTTCATAACAGTTTCTAAAGTTTGAACTTTTTGGAGAAACTATTTACTTGAATGCATGTAACTTTAAGTTGAAGATGCAGTTTGATCCATTTTATAGGAAAGAGACAGGATTTATCTGTTCTATTACAATAAGAATGATTGATTTTGGATAGTTCGTAGCTCATTTTTTGATTTGAACATTTTTTTGTACAAAGTTTCAAATATTTAAAGTTGAATAGTTCAGAATGCCCCTTCGCCAATTTTGTCCATATCCACATACTTTTTAATCGTACCCTTGTTCTATTGAATGGCAAAGTTTGATAAATGTAATTTTTCATTTAAGGGAGAAAAGTCAAGTCTAAATTTTGGTACCCTATCTGTACATGGTCATTAAATGGCCACTATCTCCACAAATTAAATCTTGATGTTTGTTTATGGGCAGATAGTGCACTAAAATTTAGACTTGACTTTTCTCCTTTAAATGAAAAATTACATTTATCAAACTTTGCCATTCAATAGAACAATGGTATGATTAAAAAGTATGTGGATATGGACAAAATTGGAGAAGGGGCATTCTGAGCTATTCAACTTTAAATATTTGAAACTTTGTACAAAAAATGTTCAAATCAAAAAATGAACTAAGATCTATCCAAAATCAATCATTCTTATTGTAATAGAACAGATAAATCTTTTTTTTTTCCTATAAAATGGATCAAACTGCATCTTCAACTTAAAGTTACATGCATTCAAGTAAATAGTTTCTCCAAAAAGTTCAAACTTTAGAAACTGGTATGAAATCACCAAAACTGAATATTTTTTTTTCAAAATGCTTTGGAGCATTACATGGCTGCAAAACAAACCCACTCTGTGAAATTTGTCAAAATCTGACATCATGATGGTTCACTCCTTCCTGAACTGATATGGAATAACCCTTATAATATTTTAGTACATTTTGTAAATTGTAAGTTCATTGTTAATGAAGTAAAACCTTGATTTAACAGACATTTCCAGTCTTTGTCATATTTAAAAATTCACATCCTGTTAATTTTAAAATGCTTTTCATATGTACAGTATCTGTTAAATTAATAGGTTTTTTTTTTTTTTTAAATCCAAGAGTTGCCACTCTTAACTTTATGCCACAATGGGAGTGTCTCTATATATCAATATCATCTGAAGACAAATAAATACAAAATTTTTGTGTTTTTGTCAAATTTAAATTTTGTTTTCTTTTTAAGAACATTAATTATATTTAACTGAACAAATAAATATAGTGTATTTCCAAAAACTGTTTATTTCCATCCAATTCAGATCATATACTTGTTCACTATAGTTCTGAGACTGTAATAAATACTGTATAACTTTTGACTTAGTGGACTTCAGCAATAGCAGAACCTTTTGCTAATAAGTCAGTTAAATCAAGGGTCTACTGTTAATTGTATAACTAGTACAAAAAACAATCTTGTGTAATATATATTTAATATAATTGAAAATATTAAATAATTAATCATCATGCATAAGACAAAATGCAAATAATTTTTAATGAGTCAGTTTATTTCTTGATAAAATGTTCTTTGAGACTGTTAAATCTTATTGTTAGATCCAAACTTAGTAACAACTTTAAAATACTAATGCAAACTTGAATGTAGTTTTAAAATAGTTGCATTTAAATGTAATAATTTTATGAACATATTAATTTATATTTAAAGTATTTTATTTTTTTATTTTTAGGTTTTGATCCAAGATCTCATTTAGCAAACTTCCATGCAAATGCTGCTGCTGCTGCTGCTACAACACAACCAACCCAAGTTCAGTTGCAGAATGATATTAAAAATAAAGCACTTCGTAATACTGGATTAAAACTTCAGACCCAGGTTTCAAATAACGAATTTGGGGCTGGAAGAAATTTATTAGTTGCCACTTTACCAAATGCTTCATTTTCTAATATTGATACAAGCAAGGTTCCATTGGGAACCACTGAAAAACAAAATAATGGGAATATGAAAGATAAGTTGTGGCCTTGTCCATCATGCAAAGTACCATTTAAGGCAGCTTCTGAATTACAGGTTCATTTATCAGCTCATACAAAAGGAGAAAGAACTGTACCATGTCAGATTTGTGGAAAATATTTTGTATCTTTGGAAAGAGTCCGCATACATATTCGTGCAGCTCATGGTGAAAAATCTTGTTCCTGTGATATTTGCGGAAGTGGTTTTAGCTATCGTTGCAAACTTCTTGATCACATGAGGACTCATACTGGTGATAAACCTTTCCATTGTGATGTATGTGGAAAGTTTTTCTCTCAGAAGAATCACTTAACACGTCATTCAATGATACATACAGGAGAAAGACCATACCCATGTGATTTCTGTGGTCGAGGATTTTATAGAAAAGATAAACTTACCAGACATCGCCGCATTCACACTGGAGAAAAACCATACACTTGTCTGACATGTGGTGAATCTTTCTATCGTAAAGATAAATTGACTGGACACATCAAAATGCATGCTGGAGAAAATCCTGCTTCCTGTGGCATTCCTGGAAAATTTTTGGATGATAAAAATTTAAAGAATTTGAGTACCCTTAATACTTGTCAGCTTCCTGTATCCTCAGCCCAGCCACCTAATCATAATACTGGTCTATGTCCTACTGGAAATAATAATTCAGGTGGAAATGCCAATAATGCAGCTGCACCTGGTACTAGTGGAGGTCCTAATGGAGGAAATATTAAGCATGAATCTAATCCAACTCCAAACCCTAATCCAAGCACAAGTACTGCTAGCCCAAGTCCAAGTTTAAGTCCAAGTCCAAACCAATTTGCATCACTCCCTTACAAAAGAGACTGGCAAAATCCAAACCCTGGCGTTCATTAATTCATTTTTTATAATTTTTATGTTTAAATCATATAGTTTACAAATTTTGGCCTAACTACTTTGCATTAAGTATTTTCAGTTTGGCTGTGTAAAAATTACATATTCTAATCTTGCATCTGTAAAAAATATATATACATATATATATATTCGTAGTATATATTCAAATATATACAGGCATACATACAAGACTAGAATATCTATGTGGCCTAATTGATTTGTAATATAACAATGTCTTCTTTGCACAGTGTTAGCTAAAATCATAATTCATTGAAAATCAATATTGAGCTGTAGTGCATGTAAGTTCATTGTTATATCGTCACTCAGGTTATGGGTTTATCTGTTTTATTTCATATTTTCATGACAACTTGTGCAACCTATGTTGTATATACAGGGATTATTGCAATGGTATTAATTTTTTTTTATATATATATATCTTCTTTTTTTTAGGAGGCAGAATTACATGTCATACAAAATATTTTAATGACTGAGGCAAATTATTCTCTAGAAGGGGATTGTTACTTAATCCATTTCATTCATAAATCTTAAGAAATTTTTGCAGTGAATAATTACAGTTATTTGATGTTTGTATTTGTTTATAGTTGCTAACATATCAGTAAAGTGGCAAAAGAAGTGTTATTTGTTGTGTAGAAAAATTTTTAGATTTGAAGATAAGTAATTTGCTATTAATGTATGTAGATGCTTTTTTAGTATATTTACTAGCCATATTTTGATTAATTTTTGTCATTTTATAAATTGAAAAAATTTCATATATCCCAGAAACATTTATAATGCTTTATATGTTAGTCAGTGTACTGTATATAAAGATATGGTATCTAAGGATATTCTCAATTTTATTTTATCTGCAGCCAATATTAGAATTATCTTTGTAACTCAAACAAATTTTAAAATATGTAGAATTGCTACAGCTTTGATCATAATTCTGTATTGAAAACAAAATAATAAATATGTTACAATATATTAAACTTGCTTATTTAAAATTGTTGATTATACAAACAACATTTCATTTACTGTTAGAATATTTAATAATGTAGTTTCAACATTTACAAAAGAAATTATAGGATATGACATCTTAAAGTACAAGAAAGTATGTTTGTATGCTGTTTAGATATCAGTAAACTGGAATTGCTTTTTTTAGTTCTTTCTAGTTTTAGATTATTTTTGTTAAATATTTTATTTCACAGATTTTTTAGTATATTCCTATTAATTAAAATACCTTAAATGCAGTTGATTTTATTTGAAGATTGTTAAAGTTTCAGCTGTTCTCAATGTCATACATGAAGAGAACAAGCTATATAATTTTCCAAACTTACTTTATTAGTAATAATAGAATTGATATTTTCAATACAGTAGTTTTAAATATTTGAAAGTAATACAATATGTTTACAAGTTTAGGTTTTTAATTTTTTTATTCTGTTGGAATACCTGGATTTATGGAATGCTCAATAATTAAGATGTTTTCATTTAGACACTTATATTGTCATTGCTGTTTTTCATTATCAAACAAATAATGTTCTTTTCACTTTTATACAGTGTGAATTAGGAGGATAGGAAAATACATTGGGAAGTGATAGTCTTTGTAAACAAAAAACTATATGAATGTGGGTACTATTCTCATTTGTTTTGGAGATATATCTGTTTGAAAGTTGCTCACATACACAATAATGAATTATACATATGTTACATTCATAAAAAATGCTCAAAATTTTCTCATTGTTATTGTATGAGTCATTTTAAGCAAAACAGTTCTTTGCTTATCCATACTATTATCTCAGTGTATTTCCTTATTTCCCTATCCTGACTCACCCTGTATATGTTGGGGCTATTTTTTTTGTATAAAAATATCAAATTCTAAGGTGTTTTTATCAGCAGCTTGTGCACTAATGCAAATTGTTCTACATATATATACAGTGCTCTTTTTCTTAAAAAAAAAAAAAACATTACTACTGATATGCATATTAACCGAGGGACAAAAATCCTAAAACGGTAAATTTTTTCAACCTCAGTAACTTTTTACCATATTTAAAAAAATCTAACCAAATTTACATTAAAATCATTAATAAAATAGGAAGATATATTCTTTTTGTTTAAAAGACGACAAATTTTGTTATGAAATTATTTTTCCTAGTGCAATACAAAGTAGTAAAACACGATAATGGACAAAAATACTGCAACACAGGAAAGCAGACAAGTCCTGCAACTTTGAGTTTAGTGTTGTGTAACTCCACCTTTGATCTTTAAAACTGCTTTAATTCTTTGTGGCATGGAATAAATTAACTCTTTAAACATGAGATTGACCAAAATTACTTAATATATTTTGAGATGAAATTGGCTGAAGACAAAATTGTTTGACTGGTTTTGGTTTACAAATTTCCCACCACAAGCCTAGCCTGAGGAATAAAAATTTTACATCAGATACATAGAAGAAATTTTTGGAGTTTAGAGTTAACTTCTGATATTCTTGGATACTAATTTTTCATACTAGATGTGTTTTCCTTTAAATCTTTCAAAGTTAAAATATGTTTTGTTTGTTGTTTCTTCACCTTATCCTATATTTTTTCTATGGGAATAAGGTCTAGGGCAGTGATTCTCAACCACTGTGCCGTGGCACTTCAGTGTGCTCTCACTGTGAATACCCATACATGAGTGACGTCAGACAAGTAGTTCAATCAGTTCTACCTTCCTAGGGCACGTTTGGAAATTGTAACCAATGTTACCATTAACTGCTGGTAGTTACCAAGGTGTTTAGAAAACGTGACCTAAATAACCAACTATAATAACAACAATAAAGACACTGAGTTCAGCGTTACATTCATACGCTTTTTTATCACAAGCACTTTCAACGAACTTATAGTCGTCGTCCTCAGGCGAATACAGATATTTACCGAAAAATTTTAAACAGAAATAATCCAATGCAGAATAGAACACGCATAAAATAAGTTGAAACTTTGTTAAAGCCGTTAAGAACAACAGCTTTAGTTCTTAACGGCTTTAACAAAGTTTCAATTTATTTTATGCGTGTTCTATTCTGCATTGGATTATTTCTGTTTAAAATTTTTCGGTAAATATCTGTATTCGCCTGAGGACGACGACTATAAGTTCGTTGAAAGTGCTTGCGATAAAAAAACGTATGCATGTAACGCTGAACTCAGTGTCTTTATTTTTGTTATTATATATTAATTTGGCGTGTTAGTCATCCTATTGATTACTAAATGACCAACTGTGTTTAAAAATCACTGTTATGAGTCCTGCGGTACTTACCAAAGTAACCGTGTGTAGTGCCAAATTTTTAAAAGTGTACTGTGACGAAAAAAAGATTGAGAATCACTGGTCTAGGGAATTGCCAGGCCAATCTAATCTATTCCCATGTTTTCAAAATATGATTATTATTTTTTGGCTGTATGAGCAGGTGTACTATACTATTGATAAATGTATTCACCATCAGAAAAGTAATATTTAGCTGTTGATATAACATTTTCATCCAGTATATTAATGCAAAATGATGAATTAATGTTTTACTTCACAATTTGCAAACTCACAAGTCTAAGCAGTTAGTTCCATATGCCATAATCCCTGGTGCAAATTGTAGTCTTTGAAATGCAATTAGGTTGCTATTTCCTGGTCTATTTTGGGCCAGGAATATCAACCTAAAGGTGTTGTGAAAAAATGCGACATCTTTGTATTTCCATCCATAAATAGATAATATCTTGATTTGTCACTAAATATTACTTTTTACCATTTATTAATGTCCCAATCTTTATATTTTTTATGCCATCTAATTCTCTCTAGTTTCATTGCATTTATAAGCAGCAGTCTCATTTTTGCTTGCTTAAATCCAATGCACATTTCTCTCAGTTTGTCTTGTTTTTGCAGAAATAGCTTTTTTAGTTATTTCACTCCACTTGTTAACATTTTAGCTGAATTTTTCCTAGAACTTCTTATAAAACTTCTTAACTTTATCTTCTGTCTTTCTAGTACAATGTGGTTTTCCTGGTTGGTTGCTGTGAACAGCTCACGTATTTGTAAAATCTAAGTGACTTTTACAACATGGAATTCATATAAAACAGAAAAATCAACAGTGTTATAGGGGGTTCGACTGTATAAAATATTAAGTTATTGTAAAATAATTTTGTGAAAGTTGCAAGATTTTTGCCTATATGATTTTTACTTTATAATACACTGTAAAAATAATTTCGTAAAAAATATGTGGTCCTTTAAAAGAAAATTTCTCTTCCTATTTTAATTTTTAATGTAAATTTGACTGGATTTTCTTAAATGTGGCAACAAAGTTACTGAAGTTCAAAAAAATTGCTTGTTGCAGAAATTTTGTCCCTCAGTTTTATAGTGACTGAACATATAGAATTGGTTTTACTGAACAGCTGCCAGTACTACATATTGACTATTAATACATTTTATGCTATTGCCATTATGGTATACCGATCTAGTGTACCAGTGCATTATGACTGGAAAATGACTCATATATATATCAAATTTTGAAGCACAGAAGTTTTTAGAATTAAAAATATAATTCAGTTAAGTACTGTGTGTGCATTATACTTGAAATTCTTCATTAATGAAGTGTATGCAAGAAATAATGATGGTAATAGCATAACTAATCCTGATAAAAAAAACTCCAGTTTAAAATTAGATACTGTTCAGAAAAAGGAAATTGTATGCTTGCACTTGCAAATAGGCTTCCTAGGTTATCAAACAGGAGATATTGTATTTCAGATTGATGGTTTTATGTAATGCAGTATTGTAAATGAATTGCTGATGCTTGGCTTAGGTGGAGCAAATGTCAATAAAGTATTGAATTTGGTAAATATTAGGCTGATTAAAAGAAGGGGAGAAGATCTATTAGATGTTGCAACATGCAATTTGCATTTGATTCATAATGCCTTCTTAAAAGTCCTACAAGAATATGATGATTCTGCATAAGAATTAATTTATGATCTACATAATTTTTAAAAACAATGTCTTTCAAGATGGGAAGATTATGAAAAATCAGAAGAAAAATTACCAAAGCAATGCTTTTTAAAACATGATTCCAATAGATACTTCCCTGCAATAAATGGCTAACTATTGGGCCTGCAACAGAGAAACTTTTAGAACAATGGTCCACAGCTGAAGATTTTTTTATTTTTAATTCTAGTGCATGATAAATTAATGAACACTGAAAAATATTTTAAAAAATTGTAAACACCATGAAGTATGTTGATATTAAAGTTTAATTAAGCTTTATGTAGAAGCATCAGAATTGTATTCATATTTTGTTGAATTTTCCAACAAACTGAACTGCTGATTCACTTAGTAAACAAGGAACTTCATATCATTAAAAAATTGAAGGCCAGATATGTAAATCAAGTAGTACCTGTAGAGTGGTAGTGCTCTCTAGTAAAGCTCAGCCACATGTATAATGTTAGTGTCAACTTTGATTCTTAATATCTCCATGCCCAATGAACCTATTTGAATAATGAAATTAAAATACAGTAGAACCTCGATTATCCGGACCTCTATTATCCGGATTGTTCAAAATAAACAAAAATTTTAAGAATTTGCTGATTTGCACTTGGCGAATTACGATACTGTTTATGTACGTGATGGAATGCATAACTTTTTTTGTTTCAACGACGTCTCACCCGGCACAGTGGCCGTAAACTCTTAAATATATTTTGCGTCGTAATAAAAATATAACTTGACATACGTATTTATAGATAATTTATTTTCAAATTACTTCATTTCTATGACCAAGGGCGGCATAAAGCATGGGCAACGTGGGCCACCGCCTATGCCATCGTTTTGAAGGTTTATGCATCACTTAAAAGCCGCGAACGCGACGAAAAACGATAGTCGTCATAAAATGATAGATACTTTGTCAAATTTTGATTCATAAATATTTTATAGAATCCGTCTTCTTGCGCCACCAGAGGGCCTTTTAAACAATAGTTAGTCTGTTAGCGTTGGTCAGTAGTAGTCCAAATTCAATACGAACGTTTGTTTCTTGAAAATTTGATCACGATTTAAATACAGTATTTATTTTTAATATTACCGATATGTCATCGAAAAGAAAACGTGTTGTATTATCATTAAATGACAAATTAAAGTATTTGTTTCGATTATCCGGATTTTTCCTTATCCGGACTACCTTCATCCCCAATTAGTCCGGATAATCGAGGTTCTACTGTA